TCGTAGGAACGTGAGAAATTCACGGTTGCATTTCAAGGAGTTGGAAGGACACTAGGCGGTGCAAGTTCATCAACGGCTCAAAGCCTAAGTAACCTAATCGATGTAGCAGCGGTTCCATCACCGTCACTGAGTCTTGTAGTAGATGAAACTCTTCCATCCACATCGATCCAACTTAGACTCGCAGATGGTACACGCATGGTTGCTAAGTTCAACAACCATCACACGGTCAACGACATTCGTGCCTTTATCGAATTTTCTCGACCAGGGAATCCAATCAACTACATCCTTCAGGTCATGGGGTTCCCACCAAAGCCACTTACTGACCCTTTTCAGACCATTGATCAAGCTGGTCTCGCAAACTCTGTAGTCATCCAAAAATTCTAAAAACTTTGTTTTCTTTTTCTAATTTCCGAATGCAATAGAGAGAGATTTCGAAAACTTGGAAAGTTTGTAAGAAAATATGACAAATCGGCTCATTGTTGCAAGAGGGAAAGGAAAACATCATATGGTTTCTATGTTTTTTTGTTTGATTACAGATTTTGTTTATTTACGGAATTATAATGCTTCGTTAAGTGTTTTTTTTACCGTTGTTATATTACAAGAGTGGAAAATTTGGTATAATCTTTTAATTATGTGTAAACCAATACTAATTATGTTTCGAATCTCACCTGAAAATGATCTGATTTTGTGTGTTATTAGTATTTGGAAATCTAAACACTAAATACTAATTATGTTTTCGAATCTCATCTGAAAATGAACTGGTTTTGTGTGTTATTAAATTTCGAAATCTAAGCAATTATTACATGACCGTTTGGTATATCAAAAACATCATATCTATTAATTATTCATGTTATTGGTGTGCCAAACTTGCTGATTTTGGACATATATACTACTATGTCTTTGAGTAATTTAGTTTATTCACGTAAAATAATGTTTTGTTACATCAAATACAAAAACTATTAATTTGATAGTTAGTAATTTTTTTTTGCCGAAAGATTTAACACGCGTGGTACCATTCTTGATTTAAATATAAACATTGATAACTTAAAAAACTAAGACGAGCATGGAATTTAAAATTTAAAATTTGTTTAGTTTACTTGTCTTCTATACATCCCCTTCTTATTAAAACCAAAGTAGTTTTATTTACATTGCTTATTTGTTTTAATTTTATTGGATCTAAACTATGACATG